GGACAGGATGACTGTCTGGTAAAACAGCAGGTTTCTGCTACCCCTGCTTCAGTCAAGCATTCCAAACACCCTCTTTGGAAACAAACAACAAAAAGAGTTAAATGTAAAAGGCACTGCTACAAAAAAGATAGGTTAAAGTCCCGCAGCTTTGAGTAAAACAGGAAAAAAAATGATGGAAAGATGCTGCATCAAACTGACACAGGAGCCAAGCACAGGGCACCGCTGCTGAAGGCTGAGCAGAGCCACACGCAATAGATATTGATGGTTTCCAGCAGGACAGGCCAAGCCTGCAGGCTGGGCAGTGGAAGGCACGCAGCCACGTGGCCTCGAGCCAGCCGAATCCACCCGGGAATGCGGGGAAGGACATTATCCACCCGTGGAAGGAGTGCTTGGGAAGTCAAGCAGGTATTTGAGAGCATCTCTCTCAGCAGCCAGAGGAACATCCCCACACCAGCACTACATGGAGCAAGCACTGTCAGGAGACAGCCTGAAGCTATCTGCAGAGAAGTGATCACCGCGATAAGGGCTGGGAAGACACAATCTTGTAAATGCTTTAACTGCTGTTGGTCTGTCCTCCAGCACATGCACAGAGTGAGCCCCAGCATACCCCGATCCCTGTCCCTACATCCCTTGTCCCAAGCCCCTCTCCAGGTTTCCTGCAGCCCCTTCAGGCACTGGAGCTGCTCTCAGGTCTCCCCTTCAGGAGCCTTCTCTTCTCCAGGCTGCCCCAGCCCAGCTCTCTCAGCCTGGCTCCAGAGCAGAGCTGCTCCAGCCCTCGCAGCAGCTCCATGCCCTCCTCTGGACTCGCTCCAACAGCTCCACGTCCCTCCTGGAGGCTTCAGACCTGAATGGAGTACAGTAGAGGGGGGTCTCACCAGAACTGAGGTCTCACAAGCCTTCAAGTTGGTAAGGGCACTCAAAAACCCCTGCCGAGAGGATAAGTCAGTGGCAGAGCAAGCCAGAAGCTATTAAGGAGTTACAGATCTGGGCAGACCGAGGGACACCCTGTGCTCATCTTGACTTTCCTGCATCACCTGGGCATGGCTGGGTTGCTGGGAGGCAGCACAGAATCCCAGCCTGCCCATCACACGGGCAGGGTGCAGGGAAACCCGGGGCTGCCGCTGGGGCTCGAACTACAAACTCCTTCTCTCCCTTAGAAATAACCAAGGGTGAGCAGAAAGGCAAAGCCAAGTGCAGGTTATACAGCAGCAACAGCCAGGCAGGGGAGCTGTTTTACACACACAAACTTGCAGAGCCATCTTTGTGTATTGCACACATCTATCTTTACATATCTCATGGGATGAGGCCAACTTCCCTTCCCAGGACAAGCTATTTCTACTTAATTCTGCCAAATCCAGCTGTTCCCAAGACAACTTTTGTTACTGCCTAACACAGATATTTTGGAAGGGTAAATCTTCCCCTTGTCCTCCCAACTCCCCCATGGTTGCTGACTGCTCACAACATTCCCTGGGTGATGCTCCAGTCACTAAAAAGGATCCTTTTCCTCCTGGCAAAGTCTGTGCTATGCCCAGGGGCACAGCATCCCCTCACAGGTGAGCTGGACCACATCACCTTTGCAACTCACCCCCCAAAAAGCCTGCATCTCCTCACCCCAGTGCCTGCTAGAGCCATCCACCCAGCACAGGAGCCTCACCAGCTTCATTTTCAGCCTTCCTGGCAATAAGCTTATTGGTTATAAGTGGCATCTGAGGGAAAACAGAGCTGAGCTAATTCATAGGTGGTTGGCTGAGGTGGCAGGGAAGTGCCAGCCACCCATGGCTCTTTGCTTTGGGTGCCTGATGCAGGACAGCCAACATGGAATACACTTGCATTGATTCATAATTTGGGGGGGGGGTAATGCTCTCATTTCTTCCCAGGCATGGTATGGCATGGCAAAAATATCTCTGTGTGGATGGATGGACACAGCTCTATTTTTAGAGCTGCAGGGTCCGGGTGCTCCATTGACAAACAGGATGTGCTCTTCTCTGAGCAGGGAGGTTTGCAGTCCATCCCCCCCCTCTTATAACAAATATTATCTGCCTTCAAAATCCTTAATGTATTGCAGATGTGACAAACAATAAAAGACCTATCAGAAAAAAAAGCCTGCCATCTCCATGTTCCCCACTGGGGCAATGTTATAATGAATTTATTAGCATATAGGGCTCACCACCATATGTTTATAGTCACTCACAAACTTGGGACTTGACAGTTTACATGTTTAAATCATTAAAGTTTAAGTTGACTGTCCAGTTATTAGGGGCTCAGTAGAAATAGGAAACAAAGGTTACATTTTATACCACAGGCGATAAATCAAAACTAGGCTGTGTTCGAAACTGACTTTTTCCTTTCTTTTGCTCTCTTTCACCTCTGCGTTTTCAAGACCTTTGAAGGGGACATCTCAGCGAGGCCAGGAAGGAGCAGCTGCTCGCAGTTAGCGCCTACACCAGGGAGCAGGAGCAATGCCCACTGCATCCAAGAGATGCAAAGACCTCAGAGGTGGCAAACACCAACCAGACTCAGTGCCACCTCAATGCACACACCTCTCATCCTCGCCAGGGCACCACCAAGTCCATCTGCAAGGCTTAGGAAACCCTTGGGACACCTCCCCATCACAGGACCAAGCTGAACAAAGCCTCTAAGAACAGGAAAGCAAAGCACCCAAACTGTGTTCCCCAACTGCAAACCTCTGAGGGTTGGCTGAGGCACTCAAACACGCTCAGAGGGGGCTTGGGGGTTTCACCGCTGCACTACGACACAGCCACCCAGCGATGTTCCTGCCTTAACACCGCAGAGCATCCAGTATGGATAAACCCAGGGAAGCAGCCACTCAATCCCAGCCACTCCCAGGCCTTGCTGCCTCTATTACTGGGTAACTACCTTGGGAAAGAGAGAGATAAAGCCACACTAAATGTAAAAGTTCATTTTGCAAACTCCTTCCAGATTTCCCAGCCTGGCATCCTTTCAAACCAGCATGCGAGCCTAAAATTTAGACTATGTGGGAAGGGGAGGGGGGAGCTGCGGAGTGGTTTCTGGTCCCTTTTATTTCGTGCTACGACATGATATGATGGGAAAAAAAAATTAATTGAAAACTACCCTTTTAAAGTAAAAAGAGACCTCATCCTCAAAAATGTTCAAAGTGAGTGTTTCCACACCATCAGCAACTTTTCCTGGGCTGGTTTCCAACATAAAACTTGAGCAGATTCACAGTTTATATCCAATACCAACCGAGTAGGATTCTGTCACTGTGAGATCAGCTTTGCCTTTCTGCTCTAAAGCAAGACGTGAAAACAGAGCCTGAGGGCATGGGCAAGTGAGGAAGCACCACAAAGTCTCCCTGGCTGCCTCCATGGTGCAGCTCTTGTCCTCTGGGGCCAGGCAGCCTAAAAGCTGTGTTGGACCAACCTCCTGCTCTCAGGAACCTGAAGGGAGCACAGGAACACAACGCCCCAAAGGCACTGCTGCTTTCAAGTTAATATTTACCCATCCATAGTAAACACCCTGCCAGCAGAGCAGCGCAGGGAGAGCAAGTCCTCTTTCCTTACTACATGCTCACATACTGCAGTGACAAGAGAGGTCTAAATCGCTAGGCAGGCCGGTTGGTGGGGAGATCAATGCAGTGATTAAATGAGGCTACAGGAGACAGAAAAAGGCAGAAGGGATTAGAGACCCGGCTTCAGAGATCACCGAGGGTGTTATAGACAAGGCTGCAAGAGGAATCAGAAACACATTTAAAACAGCAGAAAGGTGTGACACAGAGATCATGGAAAATGAAACACGTATCTCTGCTCTCGACTCAGGATGCTGGGGATCACCTGTATCTCTTTAGCATACACTTTGATATTTAGCTTTTGGATGAAATAAAGGACCTTTTATCCTTCTCTGAATTCTATATTTCTGTTTCAGACTGGGATTGGAGGGCTTAAAAAGTATTTTCTTTCCCTTACCCAATATTTGAATATATGTATTTGATATACTTTACATAATATGTAAATAATCTTCGATATGAAACTGGCATTTAATATTTCACCTCTCACTTCATTAAGGATATTTTAATTATCCCAGACCAATGGAAGCGAATTTATAAACATCTGTGCTTCGTTTAAGAGCCCAAATTTGCCTCTTAAACTTCAAAGCTGTAAAGCTGATTTTATCCAGGTTCAGTTGTCTGGTCTCTTGAAGAGCACAGTGTAGCAGCATTAATTGGGCCAGGCCTCCCCCCGCAGACCCCGCTCATCCATGATGGACACAGCCTCTGACAGCCCAGGCTTGCTCATGTGAGCAAGATGCTGCTGCTGCTGCGATTCCCAGAGCCAGGAGTATGGTGACAGCGGCTGGTGGGTCAGGGAGAAGGCACACACCAAGTGCACGTGTGACTGCCCAAGTCACAACCAGTCCTTCACTTTCTCCTCCTGGTGGGTGACCAGGGATTACCTTACTAACAGTGTAGCCATAGAATAATAGAACCACACAATGGCTTGTGTTGGAAGGGACCTCAAAGCTCCTCCAGCTCCAACCCCTGCCATGGGCAGGGACACCTTCCACTGGAGCAGCTTGCTCCAAGCCCCTGTGTCCAACCTGCCCTTGAACACTGCCAAGTACCTAAATCTGTCAAATGAGCCTTTTTTCCAAAGCCTGGATCTGAAACAACCATGGCTGCAGTCAAACAATCCTTACACCTTTCTGATGCCCTCCAGAAAGATGAAACGCTCATCTCTAAGGCCATGAGGGAGGGCAGCCATGGGAAGGAGAGAAGATGGTTGGCAGGTTTGTAACCTGTCTCAAACCCTCTGCCATGGGGTGCTCTAAACACAGCCCTGCAAAACCAACCAGGAAAAGCAGCAGCATTTGTCCTCCAGCACAACGCTGAGCATCAACAGCCTCTGGGCCATGGCATCGGTGGTGCGTGCACTGAGCAGACCCCCGAGAGCAGCTCTCTGCCCCATCACCAAGACCTACAGCCCACAGCGGGGCAGCCAGCATGGGACCACCATCCCCATCACCTGCTAAGAACCGGAGCTGGTTCCTCACGCGCAGCTCTCCATCCCCGGAGCCTCTGCCACAGTCATCTTCATCATCGCAGTCTCCACTCTCCTCCTCCTCCTTCTCTGGGGTTTTACCTGGAGCTTTTCGGCGGGGCAAAGCCATCCCTTTGAGCAGCTGGAAGACAAGAGGTGCCAGTCATTCAACAGCCTCCATCCACCTCCCCTCCTGCTTCATCCCAGGGATTGGGTGACAAGAGGGGGCCAGCGGAGCCAGGACAGTGGGATAGGACCCCATGGTGCTCCATATGCCAAAGCACTGATGAGCTCAGGTTCATTCACAAAGTTGCACACAAAACCACAATGGAAGAAACAAAAGGAGGAGGAAAAAACACATTGAATAACTCTGCCTTTTGGTTTCTGCTCTGCAAGCACTGTGTGAGCTGGAGCACCTCTACCAGCGCTGCCAAAGCTCTGGACCTAGCTCCAAAAACAGGCCAGATGGGGCAAAACACAGTGGCAAGAGGAAACACGGGTGGGAGCTCCCCACACTGCCCCTTCACAGCATACAGAGGGATTAGGCACGTTTTAAGGCATCAGCTCCCTCTTCCCGCTGCCTCTTCCCATTTCACCACAAACCCAGCTCCACTTGGAAAAGCGTGAGTCAGGCAGTTAATATATGCTGAAAATTTCTCTCACTACCACTCTGCTATTAAAAACCTTCTCGAATTTAATCCCAGCATGGAAAAAAACCTAAAATAATGAAAAGGATAAGGAAGAGCAGATATTGCAAACTGGGAGCTTTCCGCATAGTGCAGGGGTTAGGGAGCTCCATCTCTCGCAGCAATACCCATGCCTTTCAAGGCATTTTTTAATATCTGGAATCTAGGTTATATTTTTAAACTATTAGCCTTAGAAAAGAGTTTCTCCAATCTTTAGCTGCTGTTTTATACAGCCTCAGAGGAATGCTTTCGGCATCTGGCTCGCCCTGTCCACAGCAATGTCCACATACCTCAGTGTTTATATTAGAGGAGCATAACGTAATGAGAACCAAATGGCTGGATGTGAGACCCCTCTGGGTTCCCCGCCTGTGGCAAACAATGTGGCAAACTTCTCCTTGGCATGCGCGACAACCATGCTGGGTCCTGCACCCGTGGTTGGGAGCAAAACGCAGCTCAGCTCCCCAAAACTCAGAGGGCCACGAGGATGAGCAGGGGCTGGAGCAGCTCCCGTATGGAGCCAGGCTGAGAACATTGGGGCTGTTCAGTCTGGAGAAGAGAAACTGCGTGGAGACCTCAGAGCAGCTTCCAGTGTCTGAAGGGGCTACAAGGATGCTGGGGAGGGACTCTTCATTAGGTACTGTAGTGATAGGACAAGGGGTGATGGGTTCAGAATGAAACAGGGGAAGTTCAGGTTAGATATAAGGAGGAAGTTCTTCTCTGTTCACATCACCAGCTCAAACTCATTGCCCCATTGCACCACTGCTCTAAAACCAAGCCTGTCGTGGCGGAAGGGGACCACAGCGGGTCAGCAGCAGGATGCTCACTCCTCTGCAGGATGCTCTGCAAGATGCTCACTCCTCTGTATCCAAGGCATGAAGCAAGCCAGCCGGGACCCCACTGTGCAGCTCAGCAGCACAACTTTCATTCCTTACCCAAAGCAGCAGAACAACTTTCTGGCAGAGAGAATTAAGCTTTGGGATATTTTCAGCTTTAATAAACTCAGCGGGTGGTGAGGGAAAATCGGGATTTTTCAATTGTGTGTTCTTCAGAATTAAAGTTACTGAGCATTTCTTGTGTTACTACTTTTTTCTTGGCATGCCATAAATTAGCAGCTTCATTTCTCCCCCTTGTAAAAACAATAAAACAGGAACTGTCTGAGGAATGCCGCATGGGCCCTGACTTGGGATGGAGTGAACGTGCCATCTCCATGCCATGTTGCTCCTTCCTTTTCCAGATCAAGGCTCCATCCCTGGCCACATGCTCCCCGGCTACTGACAACCACAGGGAGGTTCAATTGACTCTGGGAGAAGAGAAGCCTGTGACACAAAACCTACTGGCACCGTTAGCAGGAGACCTGGTGTGTGGTGAAAATCCCACCCTGCTCCGGTGGTGCTTCCAGACCCAGGAATGCTGTTGGATGCCTCAACTTTGGCTGCAGCAGCAGCCACAGTCCTGCACATCGACCATTATACAACCTCCCCCATGGTCTGCACGCTTTATGGAATGATGTTTGGTGGACTGAACATAGATTGCCCATCCTTAAATAGCAAGCAGAGCTGGCTGTACCCTAACATTACCGTTTATTCATGTCCTGTGGCTTAAAGCCTATGGTAAGAGGCAGGAAAATACATAGTCTGGTGATCACTAAAGTAGTGTGTAACAGAGAGATAACTTTAACTTAATCACAGTTCATCCAGCCATAAGAATTTACAGTTGTATCTTCTACTCTTTGCTAAACCATAATGGCAAAAATACACTGCAATGTACCCGATGTAAACTACAGCACTAATTGTGGGAGTCCGAGTGCGCGCACGCATCTCTGAGGTGTCTGCAGGGCATTCGTCTCCCATCTCCCCAACCGCTACGGCAAGAAACTTCCTTTGCTCCTGACTACAAGCTCCAGTGGCTCAGCTACACTATTTTGTGTTTGCATACAATCATAGAACCCCAGCCTGGTTTGGGTTGGAAGGGACCTCAAAGCTCCTCCAGCCCCAACCCCTGCCACGGGCAGGGACCCCTTCCACTAGAGCAGCTTGCTCCAAGCCCCTGTGTCCAACCTGCCCTTGAACACTTCCAGGGATGGGGCAGCCACAGCTTCTCTGGGCACCCTGTGCCAGCGCCTCAGCACCCTCACAGGGAAGAGCTTCTGCCTAAGAGCTCATCTCAGTCTCCCCTCTGGCAGGTTAAAGCCATTCCCCTTGGTCTGGCCCTACAGGCCCTTGTCCAAAGCCCCTCTCCGGGTTTCCTGGAGCCCCTTTAGGCACTGGAGCTGCTCCAAGGTCTCCCTTATAGGTTTTATTTCCACCCAAGTAGGGTGGGCAGTGCCATGGTACCTCTGCTGCCACATCAGCCATCAGGGCATCGGTCCGAGGGACCCCAGGCAGCCCTGGATGGTGTCCACACACATCTGTGTTGCTTGGCTTGTCCTGTGGTCTCCCTACAGCTTAAAACCCAAGGCAGACAGGAACAGTGCACGGAGCCTTTCTGCAAGGGAAGCCCCCCAGGGCATCCCAACATGATTTACACCATTATTCATAACCACACAGTGACCAGACAAAAACAGATGCAGCAACGTGGGGGGATGACTCAGCTGGATTTGGACGGGCCACTGTATGTTGAAATCTTTATCACTCCTCATTCTTTACAACCACTTTACTCCGAGCTCACCATCCCACCAGCCACCTGGTCTTGTTTTCCCAATTTTAACATAAACACTGAGAGCTGCAACACACTTTTCATCATTAATCTCCTGTCTCTGAAAAGAAACCAACGTTGTGTTTCTTGGACTGTCGTTTCAGAGCTGTTCTCTCACTCTGGAGGCTACACCCATGGTATTGCAAATATCACTGTGAGCAAGACCCAAACCTGAGCCCACAAATTCAGATTGAATATCCACAGTGAGCTACAAGCACCATGCTCCTTTAGGGCAGAAATCCTCCTTTTCAACATGCTTAAAAGTAAAGTTACTTTTCAACATACTCAAAGTAAAGAGAACAGGCAAACAGATTATTAAAGGGGAACAGAAGACTTCTAGAAAAGCATCTAATTCCTGCATGAGTTTAGGGGAGAAGGCTGAGTGATATTTGTAATCTTTTGGTGGACAGAGCTGTCATTTAATTTAGCTTGCCTGACTGAAAGAATTTAACAAGAAGTGTTCCATCGGGTTTTGCTGAAATTCCTCGCATGTTTTTAGTAAGCCCCTGGAATACGATCAAACCTAAAAAGCTGGAGAGGCTGGAGACTGAACTTGAAGCTAAAATAATAGTCAATATGCTTAATAATCAAATATTCCCGTCCAGCAGAAAAAGTGCCTTAGTGCAGAAACTCCCCTGGACCCGCGGCGTGGGTCCATGTGCTGTTTGGCATCTTGAAGGGATGCTGAGTTGGGCTGCGAGGCTGAGTGGGGAACTCAAGCCAGCCGTAAAACCCAGTCCCTGGCTCTGTTAGAAACCCCTCAAAACTCAACCAAACTCACCAGAACGACTGTGCACAACACTTGGGATGCCTTTCTTCAAGAGCCATGGCAAGAAGGAGTTTGAGAGGAGCAAAGGTGTTATTTCCCTTGCTTCACACGAGCCGCCTGCTCCGGCCACATGCTTCCAGGTACCTGACACAGACCCCACTGGCTCCTGACAGGTCAGGTTTTTCTGTTTTAAATTCCATCCTGCTGAAAACATTGGGTTTGGGGGCAAAACCCCTTAGCTCTTATGGGCAATCCTGACCTTGAAATCTGCAACACTGAGTAATTTATGGGTGGCTTTTAAATGAGGGCAGTATCATGGGAGACGTGCAGATTTTCACACGATGCTGTTGCCTGTTAACAGCTCATTACACTGTACAGAAGTATATTCCCATTATGAAATACAGCTGGGGCTGGTTTGCTCACAAAGGTCATTATCTGATCACAGGCAAGAATGGGGGGGGGAAAGGAACCCATTGCAAAAGGCTGAAGTTGGGGACTCTGGGCAAACTCATGTGTTTTGAATTTTGTGGCCTGATCACACACAAGCATGCAACAGCAGAATCGATTCTCTCCACTTCCTCTGCTTATGAGCCCTGGAAATAGCATGGAAAAAGTTATCTTTTATTAGGAAATACTTGATTATTTAAGCAACCCTTATAATAGGACTCACTGGTGCTGTCCCCTCTGCTTCCCTATCACCCAGCTCTCATTGATGCTGCCTCTGGACAGGGGCCTTGGTGCACAGGACCATGCCCTGGCAGAAACTCTCTGCAACATCAACAGCACCATCACCAAGCACTTCTTTCCAAGCTCCAGAGAACTTTCCCCTTCTTGAGCAGCCACAATTACAACGCCTGTTACAGAAAAACTCAATGTTCCTGGCAGCCAGCATCAAACACCATTTGAAAATGAGGAGATTTGAGACTTCTAAAAGTATCTGTAAATACCAGGAGCTGTACTTTTCTCTCTACACACGCGTGCCCTTTCCTCCCT